TGGTGTTCCCCCGTGTAACACTCCGATCGAATGAACGCAGCACACACAGGCACAAACGCACGCTACGAATACGCATAACATCACGACCCCATGACCAATCAAATTTTGGACTTACGGGCGAGTGGGCATACACGATCTCGATTACCGATTGGTCCATTTTTGAAATCTGCCTCCTAATGAAATCGGTCAAATTGTGTGTGCATGATTGGTAGTGTTATGTACTAAATTTGTGTGGGACAGCTAACCCCCAGAAAGACACAAAACTTACAGAGTACACGTTTGTGCGTATAGTTTCCCCGGAAGCATTGAGGAGGATAGATTGTGAAAAAAATTACTATTGGCCAACTCGTAATGACAGCTGTTTCGCAAGGGAAGTGAATCCTCTTTGAGGTCTCTCGTGACCGATCAGCCCCATCCGATCATTCGATCGACCGACGGACCGAGTGACTGTTTAAGGGCAAGAGTGAATGGGTTTGTGCGTGAACAAGTGATCGTTCTCCCGAACTTTCTTCGGAGGTGAAACTAATCTACCATGGTTGAACCCTTTCGAAGCAGATCATCAATGTGTCCGTCAGTGTGATTCTATATGTCTTTCGTTCGGGGCGAGAACAATGAATTGGAAATATAATTGTGCCACGCAGTTGCGGGAATCGCTTACTTGTGTGTGATCAGTTGAAGCGTTTAAAAAAAAGACGTATTCACTGTCAAATCGTGGATTGTCTTTCTCCAGAGATCTGGGCTGTCCATTTGGCACACATTCCGTTCCACTTCACTATCTGTGATACAACACACGATTAGAAGCGCACAAGCAACGAGACGGGCGTGAGGAGACTTGTGACAGACAGTTCGATAATCTTTTCTCGTTTGTCACCACCTCACGCTTGATCCTCGACAATTTTTGTCCGGTGTCTTTCATTTTCTGCCAAATCAGTTCAAAATGCCTAAGAGTGTCCAGCTGACCAACTTAAATCCGAACGCTGATTATCCGGTTTGTCGGTTTCAAGTGGTTGATCACACGGAGGAGGCAAAGAGGCACATCGGGGATGATTTGACCTCCTCCACGTACGGAAAGCAACCAGTCTCTAGGACCGGCACTACTGCCGGGGCTAATCCGAGTATGGAAGCCATGGCAGCATCGCAAGCTATTGCCCAAATGCATCAACGAGCCACGGAATTATTGAATCAACTGATAGAACGTAGACAGATGTCACAAAAATCAACAACCAGAAGTGCTTGGTCACGTGTTTCCTCGCGTTCACAACCGTCCGAATCCCGGTGTACAGCTCAGACAAATTTGTGTAAGATACATTCAACGGGTTTCCGCACCCAGTTTTCACATATTCTGAAGTGACATGAGAGAACCCTTCTGTGGCTTTCGTTGAGTCTGGTTTCCATACAATTAGCTTTTAATAGCCAGTTACATTTTCATCTTTTGGGGGTTTACTACTATTAATGACGTCATAAAGTGATATGAGGTTATGCGTCACTGTGAAACTGAGTGGATAGATTTATTCAGACTTTTACTAGTATAGAGCGATTATGTAAAACATCCTTTTCCCTTTATCCACGTCAGCAAGACAAGAAGACATATGTGGGCAGAACTGATATTGGTCATCAATTTCACGTGTCCTCATTCACCTGTAGAAAAACATTTATATCATGTCAAACGGAAAAACATAAGTTGGAATGAATCACTTGAACAAGCTGATGGAAAAGTGAGTTGAGTGGTCTGTGTTTGGTTAGGGGTTGAGGTTATGACGTATTATATTCCATCTTCATCGAGGTTCAAGAATTGGTTCTTTATGACGATGGTGATGAAGGTAAAGTCAAGCAAACCGGTTTTACAGAGCTTTGCCAAATATTCCGTTTGTAGTTCGAACTATTTTGGTTGCCCCACACACCTAGTAAAACATCGATAATATCGATCATGCTTAACAAGTGTTCTGGGTCGTTGTCCTTGTCTGAATTTCGCGACCAATTGCTTATTGCCTTCAGTTATTCGTTTTTATGCAAAGCCATGATGTTGTTCAAATCACGTTGGGTCCTCAAATTTTGTCTTCTCTGGCCTAAATCTCTGATTTCGGCTACGGGCATTTGACTCCACGCTGTATTTATTCATAAACACATGCACAAACACACACACAATGTCATATAGCAACCTGCTAAAAATTTGAAGGAAGTAAATCTTTCGCGGTTCGTCATTCGACCATCAAATTAATGATGACAACAATGCGACACTATCAGTTAGACAACGTTCAAGTTAGTATTATTCTTCCATATCCTCATTAAATATACGAGTGTTTGTTTTTCACGGTACCGGGCCGTATATATTGTGATTGAAGCTATCCCCCACCCCGCAGGTGAATGTGTCTTTCCCGGGATTTGTTCAACTTGGATATAGGGGAACTGATTGTCGTACTATTTTTATTCGACATCATCCATTTTCTCATCGCATGACAATATTTGGTTTGATTTTTGATTCTTCAATCTTCCCTTCCCTAAATTCAAACACTTCGAACGGGATCCGCATCGGTTTTCTCTGCTTCTTGTCACAATCTGTGGCATCACACGTGACACATCAGATTGACGATTTTTTGTCTTCCCTGTGACATTTAGTTTATCGTCACACCCCCATCCCTCGTTGACGAGATAGAGAGAGCTACGATTGTCTATTTGCGTCTCGTCTCTCTCTCTCTCTGGTTCATTCAATGAACACGTGGCATGGACGAAAATGTGTAGGCTGTCATAGTATTCTCGGGTACTGGCCCTTATGAATATGGCAACTGTTGGTATAGAAAATAAACCTGAACGTTTTACTCCCTGTGTCCCCGTGGACCATTGGGTCATCCCTCGAATTCTCGAATATGAACATGGCAACAGGCGATCGCTATCATAACTCCCAACCGAATTCCTGTCGAAAACGTTTGTTTCAAAATGGTATAGGTTGCATTTTTTTAAACGGGCGTTACTGCTTTCGTTTGAATACTGCGGGTATATGGAAATTTTTATACTCGGCTTGATCAGTTCATGTGTTTTCTATTTCGGAAAACAACAAAGTCAACAACAACGACGACGACATCTGCTGTGTTTTGCACAAGATAGAGTGCTCGGAAC